CAGTCTTAAGAATTTTCATATTTTGATTTATAAGATTTTTGGAGGAATTTTTGAAATTTCTAAAAGTAGATTTCTTTTAAAAAATATATTTATTTTGTAGAAAAACTGGGGTGTGGGGCAGGTGGGGGGGGGGTGTTAGTGGATTCACCAGAGACAGAATGGGGAGCAGGATGGGTGGATTTTACTGAAATATACTGCTGAGGGGAACAGCGGGCAAGATAGGAGAAGTCTGCTATGCCTCGTGGGTTTGCTCCCCGGCCACAGGTGGATGAGACTTTAACCCCTGCACCACCAGGGAAGCCCCCAAGAACATTCTCTTTTGCTGGATAGAGAACTTTTAAGGAAAACATCCAAGTCTAGACTAGTGCTGTCCTATAGAAATATAATGCATGACACAAATAGAAGCTAAGTGATTTTAAATTTCCAAGTAGCTGTATTTTAAAGAGTAAAAAGAAACAAGTGAAATGAGTTTATTTTATTTAAAGCACTATATCCAAAATAGTATCTTTTCAGCATATAAGCAACAAAATTAATGATTTATTTAAAATCTTTTCCATGTGAGGTCTCTAGTCTGGTGTCTATTTTGTATTTGTAGTACTTTTCAGTTATGATTGGCCATATTTCAGGTTATCAGTTGCTACATGTGACTCATGGCTCCTGTGTTAGATAGGACAGGTCATCTCTGTGAGCTGGACTCCCTTTGCAGTCTACCCCGTGAACCTCCCCTCCCCCAGGTCTATTGTTAAGAATGTGTGTGTGCTACTGCATTGTAATAGGTTGACTTTGGTTATTTAATCTTTGTCCAAAATCACATAACAGATAACGAAAGGTCCTTTATACAAAGATCCTTTCTTGAGAATGTTTCCCTAGTCTTAAAAAAGTTACCTGACAACCTTTATTAGATATATAAGTGGATGTTTTGTGGAAAGAGTAGAAAATGTTGTAGTAGTTTATTTTTATTTATTTATTTATTTTTAAAACTTTTCTTACAATTTTTTTTAAGATTTATTTATTCATTCATTCATTCATTTATTTATTTCTTTATTTCTTTATACAAACACTGGGTACAGTCAGAAGGACAGGAGGGCGAGAGAATTCACCAGAGCCAGAGCGGGGAGCAGAGCAGGCAGAAGGGCTGAAGTACACTGCTGAGGGGAGCAGCGGGCGGCAGGAGAGGTCTGCGCGCCATGTGGGACCCTCCTCTGTTGGCGGGGGAGCAGCTGGGGATTGAACCGGCGCTGCAGAGGCTGCGGGCAGCTTCGTAACCCAGCGCTCAACCACTACGCCACCGGGGAGGCCCAGTAGTTTATTTTTAAAGGGAATAAAAGTTTTACTTTCACCTTACTAGATCTGGACTGGGTTTCTTTTTTGTCTTTTTTTAGTGGGTGTTTTATTTTTCCTCTTAAACTATGTTTTTTTCCCTCTTTCTTCAGTTTTAACTTTTTTTTTTCAAAGATTTATTTATTTATGCATATAAGAGCTGGGGTACAGAGATGTGGGGGGTGAGAGGATACACCAGAGTCAGAGTGGGGAACAGAACATGCAGACTGACTGAAATACACTGCTGAGGGGAGCAGCAGGTGAAACAGGAGAGGTCTGCTGCGCCATGTGGGTTGCTCCCTGGCAGGCCGGGGATCGAAGTCATGCTGCAGAGACTGCAGATTGCTTCATAGTGTGGTGCTTAACCCCTTGCGCCACAACGGAGGCCCAGTTTTAACTTTTTACTTGCAGATTTTTCAAACATTCACATGTAGAGAATAATGCAGTGAACCCACAGGTTTTCAGCCAGTAACAACTCACAGTTTTGTTTCATCTGTTTCAGTCTCTATTGTTCTTGTTGCAACTGTGCCCCCTCTCATTATTATTTTTTTAAAGATTTATTTATTTATGCATACAAGAACTGGGGTACAGGCCAGAGGTGCGGAGAGGGCCAGAGGTCTGTGGTGGGTCCTAACCAGAGACAGAGTGGGGAGCAGAACAGGCAGATTTACTGAAATACACTGCTGAAGGGAGTAGCGGGTGAGGCAGGAGAGGTCTGCTGTGCCATGTGGGTCACCCCCTGGCTGGCGGGGATTGAATTTGTACTACAGTGGCCGGCAACAGCCTGATAGTGCTTGCTGTCTTTAACCCTGAACCACCAGGGAGGCCCCTATTTTGAATTAAATCCTATACATCAGGGCCTCCCTGGTGGTGCAGGGTTTGGGATGCAACCTATGAGGCTATCCACAGCCACTGCAGCACGAGTTCAGTTCGATCCCTGGCCAGCAAGGGAGCAGCCCACATGGCGCAGCAGACCTCTCCTGTCTTGCCGGCTGCTCCCCTCAGCAGTGTGCTTTGGTCAGTCTACCTGTTCTTGTTCCCTACTCTGTCTCTGGCGAATCCTCTCACCCCCCTGCCCCCACACCTCTGACCTGTACCCCAGCTCTTGTATGCATAAATAAATAAATCTTTTTTAAAAAAAAAAACAGTAGGGCCTCCCTGGTGGCGCAGTGGTTGAGCGCTGGTTTGTCAAGCCGCCCGCAGCCTCTGCAGCACTGGTTCGATCCCTGGCCTCCAGTGAGGGTCCCGCTTGGCACACAGACCTCTCCTGCCGCCAGCTGCTCCCCTCAGCAGTGTACTTCATCAGTCTTCCTGTTCTGCTCTCCGCTCTGGCTCTGGTGAATTCTCTCACCCTCCCGTGCTTCTGAATGTGCCCCAGTGCTTGTACAAATAAATAAATCTTTAAAAAAAAAACACATTAAAAATAAATAAATAAATAAATTCTATACATCATATTACTTCTTCTGTATCAGGGGGTGTTTAAAATACCACAACACCTTATCATGCCTAAAAAAAAAAATCACGCTTAAAATAGCATATTCAGATTTTCCCAGTTTTCATAAATGATTTTTATGATTCAAATCAAGATCCTTATATGTTTCATACATGTCATTTTTTTAAAAAGATTTATTTATTTATGCATACAAGAGCAGGGATACAGGCCAGAGATGTGGGGGGTGAGAGGATTCGAGAGGATTCACCAGAGACAGAGTGGGGAACAGAACAGGCAGATTGACCGAAGTACACTGCTGAGGGGAGCAGTGGGCGAGTCAGGAGAGGTCTGTTGTGCCGTGTGGGTAGCTCCCTGGCCGGCCAGGAATTGAACTTGTGCTGCAGAGGCTGTGGATTGCTTCATAGTGCGGTGCCACCAGGGAGGCCCACATGTCACTTTTTATTTTTATTTTTTTAAATATTTATTTATGTATTTATATAAGAGCCCGGGTACAGGCCAGAGGTGTGGGGAGGTGGTGAGAGGATTCACCAGAGACAGAGTGGGGAACAGAAGAGGCAGATTGATCAAAGTACACTGCTGAGGGGAGCAGTGGGCGAGCCAGGAGAGGTCTGCTGTGCCATGTGGGCTGCTCCCTGGCAGGCCCAGGATCGAACTCGTGCTGCAGTGGTTGCAGACAGCCTCACAGGTTGCATCTTAACCCCTTGCGCCTCCAGGGAGGCCCCACATGTCACCTTTTTTTTTTTTTAAGATATATTTATTTATACAAGCACTGGATACAGTCAGAAGCGCGGGAGGGTGAGAGAATTCACCAGAGCCAGAGTGGGGAACAGAACAGGCAGACTGACAAAATATACTGCTGAGGGGAGCAGCGGGCACTGCAGGAGAGGTCTGCGCGCCATGTGGGACCCTTGCCGGCAGCAGGGGATCAAACCAGCTTCACAGCCCAGCGCTCAACTGCTGCGCCACCGGGGGAGGCCCACATGTCACTTTAAAAAGTGATTAAAATCTATAGATTTACCTTCCATCTTTGCCCCTCTTCTGCAACTTATTTGTAAAGAAACTGAGTCACTGAGTCACACTTGTCATTAAGATGATGTAGTTTGGATCTTGCTGGTTGCATGCCAGTGTGCTAACTTCCTCTTTTCCCATAAATGTTTGGTTAGATGGAAAGGGTTGGTCAGACTCCAGCTAGATTTTTTACAAGGATATTTGAAAGGTAGTGGCATGTACTTCCATAGGGGCACATAATGTCATCTTGGTCTCTTTTTGTCAGTCATCAGTGATCACTGCCTGGATCCATTAGATTTCCATAGCTTGAAATGTCTCAAAATTGTCCCTCTCCTTATCTGTGTATGTTCCATTCGGTGTCATTTTCTTCTGTTATAAATTATAGTTTGCGGTATCATTCTTCAGGTATTTCTAATCTGCTATTTATGACTTTTTATTTAAAAACATTTTTTATCATTTCTTAAAATGTTCTATTTTGTTTCAAGTCGGTCCTATTCTGATCTTGTTAATAGGTCATTTTTGTGTCTGTATCTTTAACTTTCTTGAACATTCCATACAGCACGGGATAGCTACTGTGTATCTGACAGTTCTAATGTTGACAGCCTGTGGAGGTCCAAGTCCACTGTTTATTGTCTATACTGACTCATGATAGCTTGCTTATTACCTCTGTGTCTGGTCATCTTTGAGTTCATTGTTTGATAATCAGGGGAAGTCCATGGGTCTAAACTGGGGTTAAGGATATTTCCCTTCAGCAAGGATTTGCCTCTGATTTTACATTTTGCCTCTGATTTTGCATCTGGCTCCACCACCTGGATCTGCTGGCACATCTTTGAAAGTTTCACAAAGAGACCCAGGCTCAGCCTCCCACTCAAGGCTGGCATCAGACTCCAATTTTCTGACAGCAAAGTTGTCAGAGCCATTTTCCTTCTGATGCCCTGCCTCTCCCAGCCACCCATCCCTCTGGTTGTAGCTCTGGTCCCAATTTATTGTGGCCCTGATCCCAGCTCAAGTTTCATTTTTTGTTTTGGGGGGCAGAGGGATCCTTGGAGATTCCCCCCTACCTCTTATGAGATCAATGGTGTCTTAAAGTATCCAGCCTTCCCAGAATTTAGCTGTTCTGCTTATGGGAGTGTTGTCAAGTACCTAGTTGGTATTGATGCCTGAATTGGGGCTATCTGCTGACACCGAGACTCTTGGCTCTATGTGTATGTCTCTCCAGGAATTCATTGAAGAATTGCTGTCTCCTCCTTTTGGGGGCCTGGTCACATTTGTGAAAGAGGCTGAGGCATTGATTGAGCGTGGACAGGCTGAGCAACTTCGAGGGGAAGAAGGTATAAGGATGGTGTGGTAGTGGTGGGGTCAAAGGTAAAGGGAGTAGAAAAATGTGAGGATGCATAATACATGGGAGGGAGCAGAGCAGGAAAGAGTGGGTTGGGAGAACCCAGAAGACAGATCAGATGGTGAGGATGGTTGTGCCTTGGGGAGGACTTGTTGGGGGGTTGCAGATCATGTAGCCTAGTGCCTCTCTGATACTATCTCTTTGCCTCTGCTGTTAGCCCGGGTTACTCAGTTGATCCGTGGGTTTGGTAGTTCCTGGAAATCATCGGTGGAGTCTCTGAGTCAGGATGTAATGCGGAGCTTCACCAACTTCAGAAATGGAACCAGTATCATCCAGGTGATCTGCAACTCCCAGCCCCCACTCCCATCTCATCCCATCAATAATTTTTCCCCTGGGCACAGCATCATCAAAATGACCCTTGATCGTCAGCTGCCAGTTGTGCCCTAAGTTCTGGATGAGCCCTAACCTGATTCCTAACATCCTTAGCACCACCCCACCAGTCTGATCCCTCCATGGCTTTATCTGACCAGGGAGCATTGACCCAGCTGATCCAGCTCTATCATCGCTTCCACCGGGTACTGTCTCAGCCCCAGCTGCGAGCCCTCCCTGCGCGGGCCGAGCTCATCAACATTCACCACCTTATGGTGGAGCTCAAGAAGCACAAGCCCAACTTCTGATGTGCTGGACCTGGGATCCACCATGGACTTTTGTACTCCATTCCATAACCTCCTTACCTGGGGTCTCCCTTCGAGTTCTCACCTTGCCTCCCAGGTCCTTGACACGCCTCAGCCTGCTTTCATCCTCGGGATCCTGCCTCATTAGGACATCTTGGATCTCTTGGCTGTCTGAATCTCCCAGAGTCTTCAGGTTCCCCAGAACTACTTCCCCCTGGAATTCCAAAATGACCTTTATTATTTTCCTAATTTTTTTCAACCCCTCTTCCCTCTACCTCCTATTCCTCATACCCTCAAGGCTGTTTTCTTTCCCCAGTAAAACCTTTACTTCCTCCACCTCTTGTTCCCTCAACTCTTGTCTCCATGTCCTATGCTGTGAAGCCTCAACTTATGGAATTGGTGGCAAGGGGAGATTGCCTTGTGGATGTTGAGTTTGTTTATTTTCACTCAGTGGATTTCCTTTCTGTAGCTTATTGACCTAAGATCTCAGCAATGTGAACACTAACCAATCCCCGCCTGGTTTGAGAGTTACTCCAAGGTCAGTCTGCAGAGAACAATAAATATTTAATATGACATAACACTCCTTTCTCATTTCCTTTCTCCTTCCTCCTGGGGCCTTCAAGTATCTCCATCTCTACTCTGGGGTCATCGTCCCTTTCTGACTACCTCCTGGGCTGGCACCCCTTATGGTGGGTGTCCAAAGGGAGGGGCATAGAGTAACCTCTAACTTCTAGTTACTTCAGGCCAGAGAAGTGGCAGGGTTGGTGTAGGGGCAGGAATGGACACGGTGCAGGTTTTCTATGATCCAGCAGACCAGGTAAAGGAGGAGTCAGAGTCCTCAATGGTTTTGCAGGTTTTTATTGGGATTACCAGGTACATGGCAGTCAGGGGCGCTGGGGGGGCTGGTAGGCTGGCAGGCCTCCCAGCCCCCAGCAGGTCTTCACTCTGGGCTCTCTGGCCTTCTCTCGGCTTCTGCTTCTCTTGCTTCTCTCTTGGCTTCTGTTCATTCTCGGCTTCTCTTTCGGCTTCTGCTGGCATCCCTGTGACGCCGCCCTTAAAAGCCCAGTCTCAGCCCAGGTGAATCCCATTTACCTATGCCCACACCCTATTCCAGGTGCCCACCATCAGGCATGCATTCAGGAACACAAAGATGCATCATCTATCCTAATGGCGGGAGGGCAGAAAAGCCTGACATTTTTCCTTACCCTACAGTTGGTTTTAGGGAGCAGGATATTTTATGAGTAACTTACCTAGTGGAAGAAGGTGGCCCCTGGTTAAAATGACAGATGCATCAAGGGCTGGGAATATGGGTGTGTATGTAGCCTTACGCACTGTCCCAAGGGCTCCCTGACAGGGGGTTCTCCTTGCACCTGCCCTTGCAAGCTGACCTTGGATTGCCTCTTCCTTCAGCATCAGCTCCCAAGTTCCTCTGGTTCAGCCCATGGGGGAGGGCTGTAGCACCCACACCTCAGGAACCAGCGTTCCCATCTTACTCATTTCTGTGTGACTCAGAGTCTTCCTGTTGCTGCCACCTATAGGCCTCCTTTGAACTTAATCTCTGGACTGGAGAGATACTGGGGCGCTTTTGAGCCCTATGGGGGAAGGCGCAGGCAGTAAGGGCCATGGGCACTTGGAGATTTTCCTCCTCCCCGTGGCCTGTCATTGCCTCCCTGGCCCCACCGAGAGCGGTGGAAGGAAAGCAGTTCCTACTTCCCGCCTAGGCCGCTCGGCTACTGGCCCGGGCCGCGGAGGCAGCGAGGGGAGGGGTCCTGGGGGGCACCGCGCGCTGGTGGGGGAGCAGAGGAAAGGTGGGTGCCTTCCGGGTGACCCCAGAGGGCTCCCGGCCAGCGGGCTCTCCCGATTGGCTGGCGCGATGGGGAGGCGTGGCAAGACCGCTGGGGCCGCCCACTCCCGCTCCCGCCTTTGCTAAGCTCCGCCCCGTCCTCCAGAACAGCGCTCCGATTGGCTGTGGCGGCCGTATCTCAGGACTTCGGCCTCCCCGCGGCGCCGAGCTTTCCTGCGCGGGAGCGCACAAACTGCGGAGGGCGGGGGGATGCGGGAGCGAGGCCGCGTCCTCAGCTGACCTCCTCCCCGGCCGCCTTCACCTGGCGGCTTTTCCCCTCCGCCCCTCGTCCTTCCAGGTCTACCCTGCCTGCCTGCCCGACATCCCCGAGGTCGCCCACTGCTGGGCGGCGGCGTGCTGGGCTCTGAGGGGCTCGGGCCGGCCCGGGAATCCTTTGTCCCTCACTTCCTGCTGCACTTGGCGTCCTCCGACCCCCGCGCACCCCGCGCACCCCGCGCACCCCGCCCTTTCTAGGTTTCCGTGGCGCAGGGCTTCCGTGACAAGTGCGGAGGACGGGCCCGGGGTTGGGGCTCCGCGCGACGGGATGTGACAGGCAGTCTTGACAAAGGGCAGGTTTCCAGACTACGGGGATCCGGAACCCCGCGAGGGAGACTGGCGGCTTCGTCGAGCGTCAGCTGTTGCTGTGATGGGAGAAACGTGCAGGCAGCACCTTGTTCTCTCGTCGCGCTGACTCACCTTCTTTCCGCGCCGAGCCGAAATCCTCAGACTGGGCTGCACAGCATGCATTCGTGCAGGCCTCCCTAAGGGCACTGCTGGAGCATGAGGAGGGTCGTGATTCTGGGGCCCGGGGGCATTCAAGTTATATCGGAGCACACAGTTTTAGGGGAACTTTTCCGGGGGTCCGTTGGTTCCTGAGAGGGAAATGTGGGTGCGACGGAAAGGAGGCACAAGAGCGTGAAAGGAGCCGCTACACCCACACTGACCTCCAGGGGGCAGCATCGCTCAGGGCATGGAGCCGTTCTCCATCCGCCCCAGCCGTCCAGCAGGCCGGCTGCCTGGTGTTGATGGAGAAGGCTGGGAGACTTGGTCCACTCCCCCTCACGCTGAAGCAACCGAGGGGCTTTCGCTTCAGCTTAAAAACCGTCAGCCCTGTGAACTGAAACTCGTGACTTCTGGCGAACATCACCGCCTCTCAAACTTCTCCCTCTCTCCCAGACTTGCTGGCCTCAAAGACCCCAGAAGCATCTAGTAGGATCACACCCTCGGTCAGGACTGTGTCAGCTACCCTCCTTCCCTTTGCTAATTTCCGGCACCGGTGTCTGTATCTGGTGCACAGCCCTCTCAGAAGGTGCCCTTCTGGGGTGTCACAGTGCCCCAACCCATTCGTCTCCAGGGAGCTCTGTCCTTTAAAGAAACATCTCCCTCTATCTCTCCACCCCTGTGCCCTCCATCTCTCCACCCCTGTGCCCTCCATCTCTCCACCTCTGTGCCCTTCACTTGCCCTGAGTTATTTCTTAACCCAGCTCTGTGAAACGTTTACTCAGTGTTAACAGCTCTATATCTGCATAATGTGGTGCCCACTCAGCATCAATTTAGAGTTATTGAATGTGTACCCTGAGAACTAAAGGAAGAAAGGGCATCCTTTCCCCTCCATCCTGTCAGAATGAACCCAGCTGCCCTCCATTTAAGAATGATGGCTTTTCCGGCCCTCCTGGTGGCTCAGGATTAAGTCTCAGCGCTATTGATGGAGGACAAGAATAGAAAGACTGGAAAGGAGGTGCCCCAATACCAAAACCTGACTCACACAAGGAGGTGGGGGGTCGAGGGGAATAACATGACCTTTAACCCAGCTGTAGAGGTCGGGACCCTTAGGCACCAGTACCTTATCACAAGGCTTGAGACTCAAGCAGGATCAGATGCTATAGGGAGTGGAGCACAGACCTGAGGGTAAAGATATGGAGACTGGGCCCACCTTGGAATCTCTGGTCCCTTTCTAGTTTTGCCTAATTATCCCTAATCAGCAACAAACAGGCCGCTCCACAGAGAAGTGAGCCCCTCCTGAAGAGAAAAGGACTGTATCAGTTCAGTCTCTGCACAGGCTGGGGGCAGCATCCCCTCTGCCCACCTGTGACTATGCAGATGCCTCTTTTCACCAGCTCTCTCCCTCTGCAGGGCAACAGCTTTCTGGCTGTCCCTGATCTATACCATGCTGGGACTTCTCTTCACTGACCTCCCTCAGCAGATGCAGCTCTCCTCAAGGCTGCCTGCCTGCAACCATGCAGGCCTCTCTCAGCAAATCTGTCCCTTTCCCTAATAAACCTGCTCTTTAAATATCACTACCGTCTCTGTCTCGTGGAGAAACTCGCCTGGGAAACTCACTGAGTGCTGCCGAAACAGGAACTCTGGCGAAACCTTTCCCAGAGTGAACCCAAGGACCCCGCACTCTACGAAATTACATCACTATCAAGCTATCACCAGCCACTGTGGCATAAGTTCCACCCCCCAGCCAGGGAGCAAACCCACATGGCATAGCAGACCTCTCCTATCTTGCCCTCTGCTCCCCTCAGCAGTGTATCTCAGTAGATCCACCTGCTCTGCTCCCCACTCTGGTAAATCTTCTCGCCGCCCCCCTCCACTTCTGGCCTACACCCCAGTTCTTATATACATAAATAAATAAAATAAATCTTAAAAAAAACAGAGGGGGCCTCCCCGGTGGCACAGCGGTTGAGCGCTGGGCTGGTTTCAATCCCCAGCCGCTGCCAGCGAGGCTCTCACATGGCGCTCAGACCTCTCCTGCTGCGCCGGCTGCTCCCCTCAGCAGTGTACTTGGTCAGTCTGCCTATTCTGCTCCCAGCTCTGGCTCTAGTGAATTCTCTCACCCTCCCACACTGCTGACTGTACCCACTGCTTGTATAAATAAATAAATAAATAAATAAATAAATAAATAAATAAATAAATAAATCTTTTTAAAAAAGGCTTTTCTCATTGCAGGAGATCAGGCATTGGGGGAAACAAGCAAATTGGCTGTGTTCCAACATAGATTTCTTTCTTTTTTTTTTTAAGATTAATTTTATTTATGCATACAAGAGCTGGGGTAAAGGCCAGAGGTATGGGGAGGTGAAAGGATTCACCAGAGACAGAGTGGGGAGCAGAACAGGCAAACTGACTGAAATACACCGCTGAGGGGAGCAGTGGGCGAGACAGGAAAGGACTGCTGCACCATGTGGGTCATCTCCCTGGTGGGGGATTGAACTTGTGCTGCAGAGGCTGGGGATTGCTTCATAGTGCTGAGACTTAATCCCTTGTGCCACCAGGGAGGCCCCCAACTTAGATTTCAAGGAAAAAAGGAGAAAAGACCAAGACAAAACTTTAAGAGGAAGAATAGAAATCCACTCCTTTCTCCCTGGGAATGATGAATATAGCAATTTGTGTTGTATTTTAGCCTTTGCAGTGTTTTCAGATACAGTATTCATTAAATCAAACCATGTTTATGATTCCCTTCTCTGTTCTCTGTGACTGGCAATGTGGATTCAGCAGCAAATAAATCAAAGTCCTTGATGTCATCCAGCAGATATTTCATCTCACTGAAATCATACCCTTGGAGAAGGTGTCCTTCCCATTTCACATGCTTGAATACGTAACTAGCCTAGCACCATACAGCCACTTAGTGGCTTGAACTTTTTCTGCCCACATTCACCTCTTGTTTCATGAGTTCAGGCAATTCAATTCATGGAGCTGAGGAGGCCACACTGGCTGTAGAGAAATAGCAAATTAAAGA